ATTAGATAACGCAACAGAGCCGCTATACCAACAACTACTATACGTATATGGTAAATGCCCATAAGAGCACATCTTTCATTTGCACCGGAGGTGTTTGCATCTCCCACACATATGTACGTGTGTATATTACGAAATGCTGTTGTGAATGAATGGATTCAAATTAATGCACTTGTATACATCAAAACGACAATTGCCGCCTTTGATTGCGATATGATTTCATAATTTACACACGCACATGAAGATGTTTATTTGTAAACCTTTATTTATAAGTATATAACCAAATTGCATGTGCTTATAGTATGTGCTTATACCTTAAACATATTCATTTCTACCTTACATAATATATATATATATATATATATATATATATTTATATATAAAGCTATCTATTTCATTTTATTACCCCAATCGCTGACTGTAATTCGCCATTGTCGCGCGCATCATCAGCTATTCAAGGAATGCTAATAACACAAGGAAAACAAGTAAGGCAGTACAAGACTAGATTGCAACCGAAAAGAAATTATATAAAGCTAACGTTGTATAACATGACGGTTTTTACACACAACTAACTATCTCTTTTTTATATAAATGGCCAATCTTAATATGGCTAATAAATGTCTCTAATTTTGCCAGGAGTTCGTAATACTGAGGATTGAGTTGGAGATCCCATTTCCTCTGTGTAGTAAAAGTAGACACTTTCTACGGTTTATTTTATATATTTATAAAATCAACTAATGCTGCCTAGGGAAGCGATCCTTTATTTCGCCAAATATCAGTTACTTATCTTGTTTTACCAGCTGGTCAATATTTTTAAGCTTTTTCTCTCTTTAACTTGATTTTCATCGATCAGTTTGTATGGCAGCTATATGCTGTAGTAACCCGATTGGAGATTGTTTAGTTGCCTTGCACAATAATCCGGGTCAAAATGCGGGAAGATATCTCGTCAAATACAAAAGTTTTCTCTACTTGAACTGTATTTTAATCGATTAGTTTGTTCCAAAGTTCGTGAAGATATCTCGTAAAATAAAAAAGGTTTTACATACTATCCCTGTATTTTAATCTATCAGTTTGTATGGTAGAAAAATATGTGTGCAGAAATTCATATCGATATCTTAAAAATTGAGTGACTAGTTCGTGTACATAGATACACGCAATTAAACGGGCAGACGGCCAGAGAGAGGGAAAGGCTCATCGAAACCACTGGCAGTGTACCGCAGGTGCCTGAAGTAAATTTTTGAATTTTCGAAGCCAAAAACTCTTTTCTGGCAATCATTTGACCACTGACCGACCTCTATGTAATTTTTGCATTCTGCGGTTGATTCAGAACGCTTCTCGAGAATATTGTCTGTAACTGCCTGCGAGTTTAGCCGGATTGTTCATATGTAACAGCAAGAAATATCGGCGATATTGCAACATCCGGGGAATATGCTGCAGTACAATTATGATTGCTATATTTTCCGGAAGTTAAAATATACCAAATTCTATATTACTGGAAATGACAGTGCCTTCTGAGTGTGCAAGTGACTTGCAGTACCTAGTGGAACCCGGTGATTGAATCTTGTTATTATACACATTTGAAACAAATTACGCTTGGCACCATGAAGAACACGCAAAACTATCATCACTTGCCAGTAGCCATCTGTTCAATGACTTTGCGTAAGTGTGTGCTGCATCGTTACCCTAGCAATTGTTGCGTCATTCTGATACTTAGATATGTCTGCAGGTATGGTGAGAGTCGTGCATATGTGCACGCAATTGCATGACAGCAATGCAATTTTCTTTAATGCGCAGCTATTCTACAACTATGCGCGCTTATCTTTTGCATATAATTATATGAGCAGCATGCAGTTATACATGAAGAGGTGCATATCACAATATATACTTCTATATATACAGATAATGGGGCTTGTTAACAGCACACATATACATACATATGTTTTATATAAATGTGCGTGTTTATGGTTTTATTATATCGGGTTTACCAATATGGAAGATATGGTATCTAAGTGCCGTTTCGGCCATTTTAACATGTCATGATCTTTAATTTTTTTCCAATTCATTCACTAATGTTTACAATTTCATCATAGAAAGATATACGCAAGAACAACGTTTACAGATTATTAAAGTGCCAATACGGCAAAGAACTGCTCGAAGTAATGAAAATATTTCTGCCGTTCAGACAAGCGTTGCTGAAGACCTCACTTTGTCGATTCTAAGAATTTGGAATGTCTCAACCCACAACCTGGTGAATTTTAAGAAAGGATTCGGGCTTGCGTCCATATAAAATTGTTCTCACCCAAGAACTGAAGCCATAGGAGCACCATAAACGTCGTGAATTTACTGATTCATTTTCTCCCATGAGGCTTACTTTCATCTGAGTGGTGTGATACATAAACAATACTGTTGATTCTGGTGCAACAAAAATCCACAAATTATTCATGAACAACCATTATATTCACCTAAATTGACAGTTTCAGTGGCCTCTAAGAAATTGTGATTCAACACCATTAGACTTCTTCTTGTGGGGTTATTTAAAGTCTAAGCGATAAACCAGGCTCCCTTCATACGGCTTGATTTAATGGAAAAAATACTAGAAATTGGGTTCATTAAATTCGTTTCTGCAAAAAAATGTGGTTTAGGCCATTTGAACGATGTTACAATCAGAACTGAATTGTATCGATTGTACTTCACATCAAATTTGAATCACTCTTATTGGAAAACCCTTTATATGACATATACGCAAGGGCTTCGTGGCAATGTGTTGGTGAATATCGTAAAAATTCCGTAAAGATCAATTGTGTACGCCGTTTTTTACACTACTATATACCTAAGTGGTAATACGAAATGACTTCTGGTATTGACATACTCCAAACCTGAAGATTTAAGTATAGAGAGATCTCTGCTCCCATTAATTTCTTTATTAATTGATAATGTTAAGAAAAAGATTTTTCGTTTTCTAATAACAAGGGTATTTGTTTTTTTAGGAAGTGGTTTTAATAGGACTCACCTTAGAAATAGCAATGGGAGAATATAAGATAATGTATTATTAATCCATCTCCCTATCATGCAATAATTGGAGTGGTACGGAAGAAGAAATTCAAAGTGCTGCCGTGGTTAAAACATCATAAAAAATTTCGAACTGCACCATAATAATCGACTTAGAAAATAAAACACACATACACACATCTTCATGAATATTCTACGATTGCTAGTAATCGTATCATTTTTTATTGATGACTGAGTCAGAAAATTCTTACGAGCACTTTGTAGTAATAATGACGAAAAGTTATGCCTTTGGGAAATTATAAGAATGAATGTGCACTTGAAAAAGAAAAGTTTTTTTTTTATTAAATATTTTAGCACTGGAAAATTATTCGCTGTAAAATAATAGTTTTGTTGTCAATTCTTATACTAAAGTGTCGATATTTATAATATATGTTTATATAATTTTTTTTTATATATTTATAAATTTTACATAATATATATATACTTTATGCAGTAATAAATTTTTAATGCAAGCACTTCATTCCCCTAAAAATTATTTGCCATCTCCATGCCTTTTTATACATCCCCAAGGCGCCTTATTTATGTGCACTCTCATTTCAATTTCAGGAGTTTCGAAATCACTTCACTTTCCAGCACCCCTATTGTGGTGTTTCACTTTGACGTCCAGCTGTGTTACAGCAAATTGCTTATTAATATGTGTTTATTATTTCATTATTACTTTGATTGTTTAACACAAATTTTTATATGTCTTTAGTTCATCTCTTGTGGTGTCGAAGTTATGCACTTGAACAAACACAATCTTGCAGATATTAAATATGACATCAGCTATTATTTATGATTATATTTATGAGCATATTTTTAACTTTCCGAAATCCAAAAAAAAAAAAAAATACTAAGTCTGGAGTCTGGAGTTCTGAGATCCCTTTCACATGCTTTACGAGGACAGTTCTTAAATAGAAGTTTAGAACCAGGCCAATATACTTTATGGCAAAAAGAAAGATAATCCTTTAAATAATTAATCTTATTAATATAATTAATGAACTATTATTTCAACTCGTTTCTCCCGAAATATTTAATGCTTTTATGAGTTCTGTGAATAAAGTCAAAAGTTGATTTAAAGTTTTCTTTATATTTTTAGGTTTCGTCGACAATTTCATACTATTTGCAGTATAACGTTCGGAATTTATTATATACCTATCGTCAGAAACAACCGCCATATTTAGCCGCAGTACTAAAGCCCAATTTTAACACTTTAGGGTAGAAAACAGCTCGTTGTTTAGTTTCAATTTTCTATTTTTTGCTTCCCAAATTAGCATCTTAGATAAACTTACGTCTACATCTGCGCTAAAACATAATTCTTCCAAAAATATCCAGATTCTAACAAGTAGATTACAGTACCTTGGAAAGGCGAGGCGAGCCGTAGAAAATCTTATACATAATTTCAAAGATAAATGTAGATTTCTTTTTATTTCTAATTTACACCGATTTAGGCACTTAAAAAAAGTGGACTAACCTGCCCATGGTGGGCATCGAACGAGTCTGACATTTCAACACCTCCTAAATAATTATGGAAAGTATATGAATTTTTAGTACCCCTCATCTGACACGAAGTGCAAAATTACCACGAAATGGAATATTTTCAAATGATGTCTATTACTATAGTTTCCTTTGTTATCTTACCTACTTTCTTTATAAAATTCTTTTTTGAAGAAAACAACGAAACTGCCTCTATTTTCCAGTATGCATTTCCAGCGATTGCATTTGTGTTCTTCAAACTACAAAACACTTAGCAAAATATTAATTTCAAAATTTGTACAACAGTTTTACGGTGCATCTGTTTAACTACTGAGATCATAGTGAAGACATTTTAAGCCACATGTTGTTTTTCAAATTAACACTAGATATTCACAGCAAAGGTTTCTCGAAAAACTTCAAATATTAATAAAATTATTTTTAGAGGAATCTGCTAAATCGTAACTAACCTTATAAATTTTCATCTTTCAATATTTTTAAGCGCTATATTTATGAAATTTTCTAAAAATAAGGCAATATAACGGAAAATATCCTCTAATGATAGTTTTCGCTAAAGTTTAAGTCAAGTGTAGATACATATATTGTATAATATCTATACATATAATATAATGGAGTCAAATATATATTACTTTTAGATTTACAATATCATTAGCATAAGAAATAACTACTAACACCATGCGCCTACCACAATTATAAGTTTTATTATACACACACATACTTAAAACAATAAATCCTTATTTCGATCATAGGTAGTCGCCCAGACCTTAGCCTTTTCCATTTCTGGCCAATTTATGATTTTTAGCTCCTCACCAATATTCAAACACTTGTAAGCTGGTTCAGGTGTACGGACGGGTTCCCATGTAAGTGACTCCATGCCATAGATATGCTTATCATTTGGATTACCAGTTGTGGCAAATTGAGTCCAAATGCCAACCATGCGTTGGATTGTACGATATTCAGGACTCTCCTTGGAGACTACGTTGGTCATTGCATGCGAGAAGAGATAAGCTAGCTCATCGCCATGAGCAACGCCCTTCAGACCACGACCTAAACGCCAAATACGGCTGGGATATGGTAATTTTTCCGAGTCATAGTCGAAGCGGTACAGATATGTGGGCACAGACGTGGCGTTAGACAAACGCGAGAGCAGTACACGATGAAGAGGAAAGTGGAAAAGCCAATAGGCGTTGATCTGAAATAATATTTTGTAATGACATGTAGTTTAATTATAAAGGATTATTGTATAAACATTGATATGGCTCTTACTACTATATGAAATGATCAGTTGATATAAAAATCATATGAAGCCTAATGAAAAGTGATTTGCCGAAAAAAACACTTTAGTTTTTGAGATCGTGATGGTGAGGTGTAACGTTGTAAATTTTAAAATTCAAAACGGCGCCTAACACGAAAATTTTATTGGTGGCTAACCACAATTCTAACGTGGGGAATGATCATAGTTGAGATTGTTAATAAGTTGAATTGAAGTTGAAGCAGTCAAAACAATTTAATTTAGTGGTGAAGAAAAGGTGAATTATTATTTAATTGGTTATTAGTTTTGATTTATATTACGATGACAAAAATGTTGAGGCCAAACCTGCTGAGATGACGCATAAGAAAATGCCTTCGTGTTCACTTAAATCCATTCGAATTTCCTAACATCAAGTAAGCCCACGTTTTATTGACTATTATACGGCTTTTGAATAATGTGTATTGTAGATTCATAAGTTATTTTCGTTTAAATAAGGAATAATTTTGTTTTTTACTAAATTAAATGAAGGAAGATAGTTATCAAGAATGTGGTTTTAATGATTTTAACTTTGGGCTGAAGCAACCTACGATATATGTGGTTGTTTCAAAACCTGCTTTCAAATACCATGAACACCATACAAGTATTTGTGCGCTGTGGATAAAACATAAATAACTGAAGAGTAGCAAATCGCTTCAGAAATTTAATTTTACTCAAAAAATTCAGTAGTAGATTGTATCAACTTTTTATCTTCGAAACAATTTGTACGATTCTCTAATTTTATTTTTACTGTTTCTAAATTGTAACTTGCCTCGTCCAGTTACTCCACGAACTCAACGAATGTTTCACCTTTCTATGTACAAAAATAATAACTGAGTAAATTAGATTAAAATTATAAATGAAATAGTTTAAAAAGCTAGTTTTCCATTTTCTATTAATATTTTCCTAAATAAATTCATTAATATTTAACTACAACCGTTTGGTGGCAGTTGAATATTTTTTAAAAATCTAGTCAACGCCACTGGCTCAAAGTTAAAAACCGCATTACCTAAAAAAAGTTGACAACACTTCAACCGAAATTGTTGAAATTGCGAGTTGATAACCGCAATGCCGAATTTCAAGACTGCAACTGATATGAACTTGTGTTGACAACCGCCATTGCGGCCGTAGTTTCAAAAAATTGGTCATCGGTGTACAGACAAGTCACTGCGGTCGGCGCTGAGCGAATATTTCTAAACTGGAATGCACACTATATACGTATGCTGCGACAGCCACATAACTAGTTAAAATAAACTCTCTTACAAAATACCTGAGAGAAGAAACTATAATCATCAGAATATAAACATGAATAAATATTCTGAGTCTTTGAATTTAAAAAAAATGGAAAATTATATGAGATGAAACGAATGAAATGTTAAGCTTTGTAATTTAGTACATACATCTATATATTCGTCAGCTGAAAGGTCTGCACTGTCGGCATGCATTTTTTTCAGCTTCGCAGCATTTTCCGCGATATCCACGTCATCCACAACTTCATATGGTACGAAGCTACGGCACGTTTCCAATTCATTCAGAAAACTTGGCATTGCTTTAAAAACTGTAAGTTTAGTGAATGCATTATATTATAAGTATTATATTATATATATTAAGGCTTATAAAGAAACTTGACATATAAAAATTATAGTTTTTCAGCACTCACATGGCACCATTACTAAGCCCTCCGCTGAAGTATGACCCGCCAGTATGGGTATTGAATTACTCCAGGCTGTTCTCATTAGTTCACGTGGATTCTTTGGAATTACACAGTCCGGTGTTTCATATGGTTCTACACAAGGAGCAAAAGGAAACAATATTTTACGTTTTAACTCAACGGTGGCCAGCACTTTCTGCTCCAACTGTGCCAGATCGGTCGCTTTGCATTTTTTTAGATATTCCAAGACATGCTGCTCATCATGTTCCCCCTTAAAACCGGCTAGCTTGGCAAGTGGATAAGCATGACGCTCCTGACCATTGTGCGCCCAAGAAGCAATAGCAGTGCCAGACATTAAAATAGCGCGATGAAATAGACCTCTGGTTTGTTCAGTTATGCCGAGATAATGTGTTGAGGCAGCACCAGCACTTTCACCGAATACGGTTATGCAATTTGGATCACCACCAAAGTGGGCTATATTATTTTTAATCCACTTTAGTGCTAACACTTGATCTTTCAAACCAGCATTACCAGGTATATTCAACTCCGGTGCGTTGAGTGTAAGAAAACCTTAAAATAGTCGATTAAGTTTTTAAAATTATGAATACGCAAAACACTGTTTACAAACCGAAAACGCCCAACCGATATTGCACTGTAACCAATATCACATCTTTCTCCATGAAATATTCTGGTCCATACCAATCACGGTTCGCTTCACCAGTAACAAAACCACCACCGTGTATCCAAACCAAAACGGGTTGTGGCTTATCGCGTTCTAACTATTATTTAGGTATATTATTGTAGCAATAATAAATTTTCCTCAATCTTGCTTAGATATACTGACTCACATTCTTCGCATACACATTCAAGTAGAGGCAATCTTCCGAACCTTCTGCATTATTTGTTATTAAATGTAATTGCACGGCCCGGTCTTTTGGATGCAGACAATCTAGTACACCAGTCCATGGCTCTGGTCGTTCAGGCGCTTTGAAACGTAGCTCGCCTACCGGTGGCTTAGCATAGGGGACGCCCTCGAAGCTATAATATGGCACTTCGTACATTGTTCTCCGCTTGATGCCTTTTACTTTGCCATATTCGGTGTCAACTACAGCGGTCTCGTTTGTGGTTAAGCGGTATTGGGCATATTTATTTCCAAGCACGCTGAAATATTAAAGTTTCATTAATTAAATACTCCACTAAAATTACTATTTAGTAACTGATTATTGCTATAGCTTAATAGGCTCATGCATGAACACAGTGCGAAATTAAACGCTGATAGTTTTGATTTATGGTCGCCATTGATAGGAAAAACGGTCACAATTCAATTAACATATGAATAAAGCAGAGAACTCTAATATAAGCACGAACGCTTTTTTGGAGAGGTAAGCAAAGTTTACTTTAATGTAGGCTCTGTAATCGTTACAAAGTACCTCACCAAGTTAATGAACATTTTGTTGATATTTTTTACACTTATCAAAACTTAAGGTTTTAATTTTTTTTTTTTACTCTTGCAAGATGTTGCTACAGAGCATAAGAGTTTAAACGGTTATTTATATCACCCTAAACTAATAGAGATCGATAGAGGGTTATGTATATACATAGTTTTCCAATAATAATGATATGATTTTTTATCAAAAAACAACAGAAAAAAACACTAATTGTAAAAGAAATACAAATGTTTTTTTATTTAATATGAAGTACAATCGATACAATTAAGTTTAGAATATAACACCATTCAAATAGTGTTTAAATGACTATAAACTCTCCTCTCCAAGTACACCGCTCCATCAGGGTAAATAGTGACACACCCTAATGCAACACAGCACACCTTGGAAAACAACTCACACTCACAACATACACGATCACACTACACAAGATGTCACCACACAAGTTACCACCACACACGATGACACCCCACACAAACAACAATAAAAAAGGGATTGGATCTTCAATTCAACTCATTCGTTTTCGTCTGCGAACCTGAGCGCCGCATCAAGATTTTTTCTTATTTTTGATTCGTAAACCCGTGCGATCAACATACGGCAAGCGACCACTTTGATAACTCGTAATGCTGATTTATTTCGGACATATGCCTTAAGTCGTTACCTACTTTTTCCACTAAATCAAGCCGTTTGAAGAGAGACTAGTTTATCGCTAAGACTTTAAATAACCCCACAAGAAGTAGTCTAGTAGTGTTAAATCACAATTGCTTAGAGGCCATTAAATGTCACAATTTCTGGAAATTATCGAATCTTCAAACTTTTCTCGCGATAATTCGGTTGTTGCATGTGGCTCCTTGTTGTTGTGGTACCAGATGTTGCCAGAATCAACTTCTTACAACTGCGGATTAGTTGGTTATCATCGAAATGTACTGCTCTCTATTGACTGTAATGGTGTCAACAGCTAAATTTTGAAAGAAGTTCGGACCGATGACTCCACCAGACCAAAAACCACACCAAACTGTCAATTTAGGTGAATGTAATGGTGGTTCATGAAAAATTTGTGAATTTTATATGCACCAGAATCGACAATTTTGTTTATTTAAAAGTATACGAGCAAATTTGCACGATTATTACGATCATGAAATGGCAAAAGCGCACGAAAAGTTGCAATTTGAGAATGATTATTTTGATAATAAAATTGAGTAATTTGTAAACGATTTTCTTGCGTATATCTTTCCACGATGAAATGGCAAATATTACTGAATACAATAAAAAAAAAGCAGATCATGACACATTAAAAATGACCGAAACGACATTGAAATAACGTGTTTTTCTAATAACAATGTATCAGTATACCTGAAATATTTTCCCAGCTTTTACCCAAGCAAGTTGCAAGAATATAAATATAATTTTTTTCTTCTTTTATTTAATACATATTAATTCAAATTCATCAAAATTTTGAAGTTAAACAAATTGACATTCGTTAGGAGTACTTTGATATTTGTCGTAACTTCTAGGATGTCGCTTTCGCTGCTCCACTTCTATATTATATATGAGCATTGTTATCTCAAAACAAATTGCATGTGAAAGCATCAGTTGTTCAACTGAATTCAATAAAGCAAAGTTTATTGAAACTGTATAACCTCTGTAGTCCATTCACATATATATTTAATTTACGCTGTAAATAATCCATTTATAACCTTTTCGCTTTTCTGTAACTCTTCTTTCTTTGATTTGATGAAACGCATGCATCTAACCACATAATTTTTTTCAAAATCACAACTTACTTTAAACGCCAACGCAATTTGTCTATAAAACCGACATTAGAATGCATTTCATACAATAAATTTTAAGAAACAAATCGTAATATAAAAAAACTAGAATGTCTTCAGACTTAGAAATGTATATATATATAAATATTTCTCGCCGCTTTTATTCTACACCGTTATATCGCCACACCCAAACTAGGCGAATTGTTTTATTAAACTGAATTGTGTTTGCATTATTATCTCTGTATAAAGTAGATCATAAGCACAAATAAAAATAAAATTAATTAAACATCTATCAAATAAAAAATTTCCATGTAATCACGCACACTCACCAATACAAGAAAATACTTTAAACAGACAACGAAAAATTTAGCTCTGTAATTAATACTGTTGGGCTTTATGTGTATTTAATAAGCTATTAAATTTATATATTACATTATTATTTGTATACATATACAGCGTATGTACATACATTTGCGTCTTTATACCATATTTGCAACACCACAAGTTAATCAATGTTTATAAATATATAGATAGTGCGCTAAATGTGATAAAGCAAATAAAATCAGTCGATTACACTCTCAATCTAGCTCTCATTGCATTTACATATGTATATATATGAGTATGTTTTTTTTATTGCTGATATAATGTTTATACTCTTACAACAGATTGCTACAGAGCATAATAGTCTTGTTAACCGAACGGTTGTTTTGTATCACTTAAAACTAATCGAGTTAGATTCTTATAAATAAATGATCACTCAAACTCAGACTCAAAAAAACTGCTCAAGCGCCCAGATACTTCTGAGCTCTTATTGCGAACTTTTAAAATATCGATCAATCTTTGAGATGTGTTATAGAAATAAGGAAGTAATCTTTTTCTGATAATAGTATGTCTATACGTCAAAAATGGGTTGAATCGAAACAATAATTCCATTAGCCCCCATATACCTAATAGAAAGATTTTCGAATTTCCTGACTTTATACCACATAGGTATATCGGTCAATATGTGTGTTATCTTAATGAAATTGAAAGAGCGTGTTTTTCTAATAACAGTGTATAGGTATTTCCCCAGCTTTGATCCTGGCAACTAGCAATAGTATGAAATGTTTAGCTACCGTACTTAGCCATTCCTTACTTGTTGTAAATTTAATTTCATTTATATATGCATTTTTAGCCCTCGCAACATGTTGCTCTGAGTGCTAAAGTTTTTTGCACATGCATATTGCGTAATTAGACAAGAAAAAAATACATAGCATGATAACGTTTGCTTTTGTATTTAAGAGATCGATTGAACGATATTTTTCAAAAGCTGTGGTTTAATTATCAATTAAAGATGAAAACATTTAAATACACCATTTTATGATTTTTATTAAACTTTACTGTCGAAATAAGTTTCAAAAGACAGACAATAATTTAAAAGTGAACACTTTTACTTTTTCTTTTATGTTCGTTTAAGTACTTTCCCGCAATAAACCTCAAAAATAATTGGTTTATAGCAGCTGAGAGATGAGCTATTTTTCTGTGATAATTTTTTCGGTGACTCAGGTACTGGTCGGATCAGGTCGTATGTGACTGAAACAGAAGAATATTCAAGTACAGGATATTCGATAAGTTTTGTATTTTTAATAAAGTCGTCAATGTGGTATATTTTGTTCTCACCAGATGCTTGGTATCACAAATTTCATAGATTTTTTCTCACCTCGATACCAAGCTAAAATAGTGAAATAGAAATCAATATGTCTATTATATTTAATTCATCGTTTATATAATATTTCACACCTTCCAAAGATTTTTTACAAACACTATAAACAACATGTGGAGCCCATATCTTGTCTTGATTCCGAACCGGACAGTCAAGATATGCTTCGTAAGCATGAGTCGAAGTTGAATAATGAAGTTTGAATTTTTTCATCAGCAATTGACTCTTCAATGGCAATGAGGAGCCACAGAGGTACTTAAAAGTATTCAACCAAATATTCTATGTTGCTAATGTAGGTGTATTACAATACATAATATAGTATAATATACATATTTATTTCATGTGGCGCACTTACATAGAAAACATATGTGCAGATATATGCTTGATAAGCAATATAGGTAAAACACTCGCCTATTAATATAAATATTTGTGCTGGTTTTTATTATTCAACGCAGCATAAAATGGCTTCTATGTGGAGAAATATATATATAAATAACTGCGTATATGTATATTTATATAGGCATAAATATATATACCTGACATATTTAGTTTATGTGTTATGTGCTATATTTTTGAAAGCGAAAAATTTGCAATATAGCTTATACATAATCCTTTTTATTGGCTTAAGAAAAATTTATTTTATTGAAATATTGTGTAAGTAAGCCAATATGTACATAAATGCAACCAGCTGGAATAATGGCTTAACTTGATTTTAAGAAATTGCGATGGCACAGTTAACACAAAGCTCATTTATTGGAGCTTTGAGACATTAATTTTAACATCTCCAAATCGTGATTTGTTGAAGCAATACCAATGAATAAAGCTGGAATACCGGTCGCAAATAAACAAGTTTCATACAAGAACTTTATTTTGATCGTTCATGGTGTAAGACAACTATATGATATAGTGATCCAATCTTGAAAAAAATTTCTGATATTTAGGGATTATCTTGGCTATAACCCATGCTAAATTTCGGGAAGATATCTCGCAAAATAAAAAAGTGTTTCATATAAGAACTTGATGGGAAGAAAAGAACGTGTGCAAAATTTCAGAGCGATATCTCAAAAACTCAGGGACAAGCTCGCGATAAACAGACAAACGGTCATGGCTAAATCAACTCAGGTCGTCACGCTGATCAGATATACAGGGTCCCGACATTTCTCTCTGGGTGTTAAAAACTTCGTAGCGTACCCTATTCAGGGCATAAAAATATAAAATAAATATTCTTTTCGTTACAAAAAATAGCTCTAGCTCAAAGATTTTCCATTTCTTCCATTTTTCAATTAGTTATTTTTGACTTAACACCCAGCGTGTTAAGAATTTACCATAATATAATTTTTCTTCTGCAAATGTGACACAAATTTTTCAACTTTTCTGACAGACAGTAAAATTTTTAAATGTGCAACGGAGGTCACGTTACAAGCTAGTGAAAATTGGATTCGCCTTTCAAAGCTCATATAATATGTTTGGGACTAATTAATACCTTCGCCTTTGTTCATTCGTTTACATGTATGTTAAAGCCAGATACTGAAAAATTTAAAAGCCTAAACAAGAAGAGCAAATAGACCACTTATTGCGCTCAATAACGTCAGAAGCATGGCATTTCATCCATAACGCCAGCTGTAATTAACTTGTTTTTTGAGTTTTTGCAATATTGGCATGCAGCCTGACTGAAAATGTCAAGCTAATGCACTGAAATTACTCAGAAATCTATAAGATTATGAAGAAATGTTTATATGTACATACATATGTATATAAGCAAATACTTTACAGAAGACGACTTCTGCACAGCAGAAAATTTTTTTGGAAATAGATAAGAAGAGCTTATATTTTAGAATTTTAATTGCTAGTAAATATGCAAAACCATAAATTTGTTTAATTTATATATACTTTTTACAATTTTTACGTTTATGTGTGTATAGTTTAAAAGATTTGGTTCGCACAAAAGACCACAAATTCATCTCACACTGTTGCATTTTTTATATATATTTAAGCCAAATTTATGACATATAAAAAAGATATACACAAACATAACACAATATAAACATATATAAGTAAATCTATAACACATGCATGCTAGCGAGTGGGGCCGCAAGTGTAGTAAAATAAAATACATTCGCCAATTTCAAATTAGTTCAAGTGCGACAATTTATACTTGACTCGCCTGCATTTAAATGCGACGTTTTGCGCATAATGTTTGGAATTTTAATGTTAACAACAGCATTCTAACAGCAACTACGAGACACATTTGAGAAATCAATGAAATTTTTAATCCAATTAGTGTTTAGGGTGCTATATGTACAGTGCATATTTCTTCAAAAATACAACCGGTCATAATGTACCACTCAAAAGGGAATATTTTACAGCTATGATTGGTGACTTTGTCGTTGGAGGATGTTGATGTAGACGACCTTTGGTTCAAACAAGACGGCGCTATATGCCATACAGCGAACAAAACAATCAATGTGTTGAAGTAACCTTTTGGTAAGCGCATTATCTCGCGTTGTAACTATTTTTTGTAGTTATGTGAAGCCACTTGTCTCTTAACATATATGGTATTTCGAATTCATTGACTCTTCCAGCAGCCCTCTTTTATGCTCCCAAGTAAAGTTTCGTTCGTCCAGATTGTCACAAGTGTATGTGTGCGGGTATTTTGCATATTCACCCATGACATTTTGGCACATATTGAATTTAGTAATGTGGACAAATGCGCGCGGACCCCAATAGAGCCACAAAGCGGACAGAAATGTCCGTAAATTAAACAAAGCATTTAGCAGTATTTGCTCAATATATGTATAGACGTAATTTTATACCCTGCGCCTAAAATTTGGGTTAATTAGCGCTACTCAACAGCAATTGTTTATAACGCCGTACGTTTTACAGTAAATAATATTAACACAGTAAGTACAAAAAAAAAATTACTGCAATCATTATTTTAAACATTCCCTAAAAGTCCAAATTTTTTTCGAGATAAACCGGTTTTAAATTTATAATATATGTACGAGAGATATCAGCAACTGCATAAAATGGTTAGAAGTTTATTAAAATTACATGAGCAGCCTTATTGTTCAGCTTCATCAAACATACATATACGCATACAATTGAATTTGAAGGATTTTCTATATCCGTATTATCCATTAAAGCATATATCAGCCAAGAGCTGACTATGTTCCTTCGAGCAATTCGAGATTATTGACTTAGTGCAAAGGCATAACTGCAGTGTTATTGTTGTTGTTTTCTAATTCAAATCACATTTCGTAGAATGTACTATACGAGCATATACTAAGCGCGTTAACCTTTAATCTCTTTCTTATCGCCGCTCAGCAGGAATGTACGAAATTGCATGCTAACCATCGAATATCATAACTCATTGAGCATCTTCAGTCATCATTGAATGTGATTAAGGCGTAACGCCAGCACAACAACGCACTCGTTGGGTATACTCATAATTCATGTAAGAATATGCACAGCTACCCTATAGAGGAATTCATTATGACTAGTAAGCCATGGTTTATTACAGGA